TTTTTCTTGCTTAAAATTACCATAAAAGGAAAATTTTTAACAAAACGGACGCGATCAGGAGAGAGTTTTTTTTTTTTTATTAATAGCAGAATTTTTATTTTCTAAATAATCTTATTTAATATATGGACTTTACTGTAAAAGTATTATAAAATTTAAATGATTTTAATTAAATAATAAATTTAGAAAAAAAATATTTATTAAACTTAAACAAAAAGTTTAGTTTATTTAGATTAAAAGTATATTCTTTTTGAATATTTTAAGTCAATATAAAAAGTATATATAAAAGAAAAAATAAAAAATAAAAAATAAATAAGTAAATAAAGTAAATAAAAAATAAATATATAAATAACAAAACACAACTATAGTTAAGTTTATCCAAATATAGTAATATTATTTTATGGTCATTTCATAGTTATTTTGAATTTAAAAATATATATGAATAACTATAGGATTGTATTATCAGAAACTAATATTATATTATTTACATGTGGTTAATTAGGATACTTAGATTAATTTTAAGGATCTGGGTTATCAAGACAATCAAGCTATATAATATATGATTGAGAATTGTTATATTCATATATAAAGTATAAAATTTATATAATTAAGTTATAAAAAATAAATTAGTTATAATTAATTTATATAATTAAGTTATAAAAAGTAAATTAGTTATAATTAATTTATATAATTAGTAATAATATTAGTTAGTTTAAATTATTTACATATATATAAATTATATTATTATTATTTTTTTTTAAAAAAAACAATCTTTTTAAAATAATTTTATAAAATAAAAAATTTATTAATTCTATAAAAATAATTTATATAACTTTTAATATGATATCACCTATTTGATATAATATTATATCAAAAGTTTTACATACAATAGATTAATATTAACTATGGTTCTAAAAATTGGAATTAAACAGAATCACAAGGAATTGTACAAGGTTTAGAACATTATTAAAAATGATAGTGGGGTATATCCCACCTATTAAATTTAATATAAACTTGAAAATCAAATACAGAATTGAAGAAAACCATTAGGATCCTTAGTATTAACTTTAATGGATATTTAATATAATGATTATAAACTCTTGTTTAATAAAAGCCTTGCATTTTGCTTGTTTGCAAAAATAAAAATATTTTATATATTATAAGAAATAATTAATAAATTTTTTTTTATAATTATAAAATTATAATTATAAAATAACTCTAAATTTATATATACTATAAAAAAGACAATAAATTTTGATTTTTTTAAAAAATTTTAAATTAATATTTTATAATTATATTTCTATTTATTATTTTTTTAGAGTATATATGTATAATTTATAATATAACTATTAATAGCTATTATTAGAATTATTATTATTTTCATAAGTTTTTAGAGTTCTGTACATATTATTTTCCAAGTAGATTTGTATTAATTTATTGTTGAAATAAAGATGATAATATTTCATATACATATTTATGATTATTATTATAAAATAATACATTTACAATTTATTCAAAAAAAAAAAAGAAAAGAAAATCCAGCATATATTGTTTTAAGAGAAATATATACAGTAGATGCATTGTTTTAAAATGCAAATTTTTCTTAATAATCTATTTTAAAATGAAAATTTTTAATTTAAATAAATTAAAACTAATAAACATAATATGTAATGGTTTTTACAGTTAAGCAAGTATGGCAAGAAATTTATTTATCGTGATATAATCACAAGTAATAGATAAAATATCAACAGAGTGAATAGATTTATACAAGATAATCTGAAATTCCTAAAAAATTTCATTCTCGTTCTGGATGATAGCAACTCGTAATGTTTCCCGATTTACAAATCTTTTTTATGCTTCCTCACTGCTAACATAGCAGCCAGAGCTGTGGAAGTTAAAAAGAAATAAGAATTTAAAATATTAGGTAATCAAAAAAAAAAACAAATATATTTACCGGAACCAACACCCGACCCGTCCTTTGCCAACTGAATTTCAATATTATCCACGTTATCCCCTAGAATTTCGCGAAGTGCAGCTCGGATATTTTCCTTAAAATTGGGATAAAATTCAAATAATGATCCATCAATTCCAATCCCACAACCGCCTTCCACTGCTCCACAATGTTTAATCACCCCTGCCAATCCTAACGAGGATAACCTAGCAGCTCTTCGACCGACCAGCCGACAAATTCTTTTTACTATTTGTCGGTCGGTTAGAGTAACTGATGGGATGTTCATTGTTTCTTCCAATATTTTTCTGGTATCTTCTAACGTAGGGGTGGTATCAACTTCAATGACGGTCATGTATTTTGTCTCAAATATATAATGCTTATTAAGCTCCGGTGAGGAAATACCGTTGAAGAGTAGTGAACGATCAATTAGGTGTAATAAGGTATTGCGAACTATTTCACCCAGATACATTCCGGAAATCATTTTTTCGAAGATTTGATAAGTGGGATTATGTGATTCGAGGTCTAGCTTCTCGTCATATTTTGTGAGAGGGAGGACGTCTTTCTGGTTGAATTATAAAGTATGTTAGTTGTTTTAGTATGGTTGAATGTTAACCAAGAAAAAGAATTTATGTTACTTCATCATCAAATGCACCCCATTCTATATTAACTATCATTTCTTCTGTTGCGTCGGAACTTATATTCAACTTCTTTATATTACTTAAGCGTTCGAAAAATGCAGAATTTGTGCCGGTTCCCAAAATGACACCCAAGAGAGTATTAGGGTATTTATAAGAGTGAGATAATAAAGTGCCCACGGTGTCATTCACCAAAGCCACAACTTTAACCGGTACCGATAAGCGGTCAAGCGACTCTTGTAGCATAGACACCACATCTTTTCCCACTGCATCGGGGCATACAAATCCCTTGGTCCATTTTAACAGGGTGCCCTTATCTATGGCAGTTTGTGCTACTGGGAATGAAAAAGTGAATCCTAAATTCACTTTCTCCTTTTCTTTTTCATGTTGATAGCCAATTTCTACCAGAAATTTGAGAACGCAATTCGCAATGAAATCAAATAATATGTGAGATTCTCCGACTTTTTGAGCCTCGGAAACTAGATATTTTTCTTGTTTAATGGTTATTACACCATTTCCTTGGAAATCTACTTGGCATATTCGAAGATTTGTACCACCGAGGTCTAAGGAAAGGAATGTACCGGTTTCTTGACCGGTCGGTCTTCCGGTAACTGATATTGTATATACGAATTGTGGTTAATATTTATTCAGACATTTAAAATTTAAAGCTAAGACTATGGAATAAATTATGGAAAATAAATCTCGTATCTTATCAACAAAAAAGAAAGGAAAAGCGAAAAATTCCAAGTCTATAAAATTTACCGAAACTAGGTACCATCGCTAGAGTTTGTCCATATTTCTCAAGGCCTTTATTTAATTCCCTCATAAAATGATTACTAATTTCTATCAATCTCTCAGTTTTCAAATCGAATTCACGAGTTATTTCCTCGATCGTTATTAATTGATCTTGGGAAATATAATCAATTGGCACAAATTCAGGAGCATTATTTCCTTCGGTCGATGTTTGATATGACATTTTAACGACACGAAAGCAGAGCGAAATAGTTAGCGAAGATCATGTTGCCTCATAAAAAAAACTTCTGGATGATGTTACTGGTGGTACGCAAGTTAATTTGAAAATTGATATTATTTTATACTGTATGTAATAGATATTTTTATATGTAATATAATGATTTATTTATTCAATTTTTTGTACTACTTGATCGAACAGAATTCCTTATAAAAAAAAAAAAAAAAAAAAAATCTGATGAATTAACAAATGATGTTGCGAAACTTCTCAAGGTCTACAGCGTTTACGCGTACTTTCAAGTTCCATCCAAAAATCTTTACTGTATGTACCATGTATTTTATACGTTTTTTCGATATATGTGAGGTCATTAAAATTTTATTTGGCTTCAGCGAAAGTATGTTTCAGCGGATCAGCGAGAGGTAAGCCTATCTGCAAAATTCTTTACATTTATGTATAGCATGTAATTAATGTCGAAAAATGTTATGCATAGTACCTGAACAAACGTTTGGTGGAGACAGATCCCGAAGTATTTGATATTATAGAGAAGGAGAAGAGAAGACAACGTGAGAGCATAACCCTTATTCCTTCAGAAGTAACTTTTAATTCGATAATGCGAATCTCCTGAATATTCTGCATTCTTTTAACTTTTTTTTTGAATTGATAATATAAGAACTTTACGGCACGTGCTGTTATGGATGCTCTCGGATCAGTTATGCAAAATAAATACTCAGAAGGATACCCTGGAGAAAGGTTAGGTTAGATATAATATAATTTCATATTTTTTCGTTATATTCTAGTTTGTATAATGTATTGTTTCAATAGATACTATGGTGGAAACGAGTTTATCGATCAATCTGAATCTCTTTGCCAAAGACGAGCGTTAAAGGCGTTTAATTTAGATGATTCCAAATGGGGGGTAAACGTCCAATCTTTATCTGGTGTGTGTAGCTTTCTAAGAGGAGTGTAGTGATCAAAGGGCCCTTAAGTTATTCTTATGATGTTTTACCATCGGTCAGGTTCACCGGCTAACTTGTACGTGTACAACGCATTGTTGAGGCCACATGAGAGATTGATGGGATTAGATTTACCACATGGTGGACAGTAAGTAGGGTTGGAAAATTATATGATTGGCAGAAAATTCAGTGATGTCTTACGTAATTCTGCTTGGACTTCCGTTTCGAGTAAGTTTGTCTCACGGTTATCAAACAGGATCCAGGAAAGTGTCAGCAGTTTCCGTCTATTTCGAAACGTTACCGTACCGATTGAATGAAAAGACTGGTATAATAGATTACGATGCTCTTGAAAAAACCGCTATTTTATATCGACCCAAACTTATAATTGCCGGCGCCAGTGCCTACCCAAGAAATTATGATTACGCTCGTATGAAAACAATTGCCGAAAGTATAAACGCATACTTAATGGCTGACATTGCACATATAAGCGGTAAGTATCCAAGTTTTTCTTGTTTAAAAAGTGTACATTCTTCTCAAGATAACTATTTTAGGCTTAATCTCGGCTGGCGTTTTGCCTTCTCCATTCGAGTTTGTCGATATTGTCACCACCACAACGCATAAATCTCTTCGAGGTCCGCGCGGTGCTCTTATTTTTTATAGAAAAGGCGTAAGGAAAGTTGACAAAAAAGGAAGAGGTGAATAAGCTACATAATGTGTAGCCGTATTTAGTTTAGTACTATTTTCAAGCAACGTTAATGCCTTCCTCTATTTGTTATAACTCGAGAAGTATATCTAATGATTAAAAGATATCCTATATGACCTCGAAAATCCCATTAATCAATCCGTCTTTCCCGGTCATCAGGGGGGACCACATAATCATACCATTACAGCCCTTGCTGTTGCACTTAAACAGACCGAAACTTCAATATTTAAAGAATACCAGATGCAAGTATTGAAAAATAGTTTTGCGTTTGCTGAGGCATTCAAGAACAAAGGATATAGTTTGGTTTCTGGTGGCACAGACAATCATTTGTTGCTTGTCGATTTAAGGCCCATGGTAAAGATAGTTTTCGAAAGTTTCATGTCATTAAGTTCACGTGCGGTTGATACCTTTATTGATTACCGATTTTGTGGATAGAAAATTGATGGTGCTCGTGTTGAACGCATTCTTGAATTGGTAAATATTGCGGCAAATAAGAACACTGTTCCCGGCGATGTGAGCGCGTTTATTCCGGGTGGGATTCGCGTTGGTACGCCTGCCATGACAACCCGTGGTTTCGTTGAACCAGATTTTGAAAAAGTAGTTGAATTCATTCACAAAGCTGTGGAAATAACCATCGACATCAATAAGAAAGTTTCTGGTGAGTTTTGTTTGATATAATATGTAAATACGTATATATCTTTGACCTAAGGTTTTATTTAATCGAATAGGAACGAAACTAAAGGATTTTAAGGATTATATTGGAAGGGATGACTTTAAAGAATCTTCAATTGATGAATTAAGACAACAAGTAGTCGAATTCGTTAAAAGATTTCCCACTATTGGTTTTAACGAGAGCGAGATGAAATACGCATGATCTTCAGGCCCTTTGTCGGATCGAACATTTAATCAACAATTGATTGGTTGGTTCCATTGATTCCCTGAACGCCTGATGATTATCAAAATTCAAATAATTATTCAAAATAAATGAGACGCATCCTAAAGCTTTTCTTCGATACCTTCTTGTTGCTACTTTCTAATTCTATTGATAGAGGTTTATCAAACGTTGTCTATCACAATCATAATAAATTATATTTGGTCAATCAACCCTAATTCACTTTCCACACGCGAAATCTTCCCATTTATTGCAAGATGTGATTTAATAATAGTTAATGAATTATTATTACTATATAAATAATTGATTTGTTACTGTACAAATCTATGTAAATGCATTCGAAATAATTGATCTATGATATGTCTAATGTTGAGAATCTCCATAAGCTCGTAAGTTGTTGCGTACGAGTGTATTCAAGAAGAAAGCACGTTTCCATTTATGGCTGCCTATGTCCGTAGGAATTAATCAGAATCCGAATGAATGAATGATCCCTCGTAATCATCATCTTCATGCATTATCAAGGTTCCCATAAATATCTCCTCGACGACATCGGTTGCTGATTTTTCGCCAACTTTCTGAAGGAAAGAATTCGCCACCAAAGATGATGTTATCGGGGTAATATGGGTTGATTGTGCATAATATGCTGATTTCTGATTCATTTATTAAGAGAAAATTAATTCCTGACCTATGACCAAACTAAAATTTATAAACTAAATTACACAAACCAGCGAAGTCGTGGATCGGGAAAATGCTTTGTAATGATGTCCAAAATCTGGTCTTAATCCTAGGCCTTGTAAATTAATAATAAGAAAATGAGTATGATGACGAAAAAACAGAAGTAATTAAAGCCTTAAACTAACTTGATCTTTCGTCGTCCTGTCGTTCTGTTTGTTCCAATATTATTCCCGTGAGACCTCCAAAGATTTGAGTTCTTTTGAGAGCTGGTCTATTTTAAATATAATAATTATTGGATATTTAAGCATTGGAACAAAAATCAAACGGTTTGGTCATGCTTTAGTATACGTACACTTTAAAGACCACATCTCCAAATGTTTGTTTCATGTTAACTGTCAACTGAAAAAAGAAAAAATATATTCCATTCAGCAAAGTTAAAGTACGAACAAGATGAACCAAAGTCAATAAAAGTAATGATAATTTTACTATACTTTAAGAGTCGAATTGATCTTACTATCTTGAAGTAGATATTTTCGGTTCGTCGCATTAAGTCCAACGTATTCAGATATGTTGAGCGATAACTTTCCGATATTATTTATTTCCCTACCGCCACTCAATTCCTATCGAAAAATCTCGATTATTCCACAAGATACTACCTAATGCACTAATTGATATGCCAATACCTGTTTTATCGTGAGTCTTAGTTCACACGGCATTAGAAATCCATCCTTCCCAATAACAAGCTGTGTCGTATTATGCAGTCTATAGTTCCAAAAAACACGATGATCTTTTATTATTACCCTGTAAAACCAAAGGTTGAATTCTGTGAGTGGTTAAAGAACGAGGTGACCACCTGAAGTCGGAATTTGCTTTACCTCTCTGTCATTCCTTGAGGTCTTTCACTGTTCCTTAATTTCCACTTTACATAGTAAAGTCCAGTTACCAGAGGAACGTCTGTTAGTTCATGAATTATAATTTCCACTTCGAATTCTACTTTACGATTTCGGGGTACAAATAATAACGACAATGAAGACATCTTTTCTCGTGACTGCAGTAGTCAAAGCATACATAAGTAAATTATACTGTGACACAAATTTCTTATATATAGATGTAACGGATTTGATATACGCGCACAATAATTTCACTATGGTAGGCGCAGTTTCACGGAGACTACTTAAAGAACTCAAAGATTACCAAAAAGAACCTAATCCTGATCTTGCTGAACTTTCACCAATACAAGACGACAATATTTTGATTTGGAAAGCGGAATTACGAGGTGAAGCTGATACACCTTATGAAGGTATTATTAGTTTGGACATCAGTGAAGAAATGTATTGTTGCAAAAGAGGCAAAGTCTTAAAATGTGGTTTTATACCAGGCGGACACTGGACTTTACATATAGATATACCTAAAACATATCCAATCCATCCTCCTAAAATTAAGTTCGTAACCAAGATTTGTCATCCAAATGTATCTTTCAAGGTGAGTATGTTGTAGGATCGATGAATAACTTGGACAATTTAAATATCTTTTTTTGTATTAGACAGGAGAGATATGTCTGGATATTTTGAAAACAGCATGGAGTCCTGCTTGGACTTTGCAATCCGCCTGTATGGCAATTAGGTTGCTATTATCTAATCCAGAACCGACCAGCCCATTAAATTGCGATGCTGGTAAGAGCATCTCCCCGTTCTATAATCTTGCTTAGTTAATTGATATCAGTACATTTACTTTTATTATTTTCCTTTCTTCACAGCAAATTTACTCAGATGTGGAGATCTCATGGGCTACGAATCCTTGGTGCGTATGTATACTCAGCTTTTTGCAATGGGTCAAACTGAGAATGAAGAACATCACAAGCATTAGTCTAGATGTACGTCAATTCATAAACATTTTATAAAGATTTTCTGTTAAATGCATTGAACATGGTTATGATCCTTTATACTAAGGTTTTTCGATAGGTCATAACAAACCTAGAATATAATCAAAGCAATTGACTAATCTATTAAACATACAATCTGTTTACTGGATAATTAAATTTATTGATATTATAGAATAATAAATTTTCAATAAATTAAAATAAATTATAATTTATTCTATTGTCCAAAGCATAGCGAAGGACTTGTATTTTTTTTAATAAAGTTAGACCCCTTAGGATCGACATGCCTGTCTGTCTATCCTGTTATGTGATATTGTTAAACTTAAAATTTTTTTTTTTTTTAATTAGTTGAACCTTGTTTAGCAAACTTTATTAAGGTCAATATTTACATATATTCATACACATTTCTGTATATAAACTATGCTATAACATTAATTGATGAATATATATATATATATTTTTTTTTTTTAAAGTGCACCAGCGATAATTGTCTGGCTGAGTATTTATTCAATAACAATGTTTACATATATCTTTCGACAT